AGGGCTGGGACAAGCGCTACTGCCTCAACATCCTTGACGACGAGAGATTTGACACCATCCACTTCTTTGGGAACGAGACAACCCCTGTGAGTATGCCCCACTCGCCCCACACATGGCTGCTTTCCCTCCTTTGGCCTGACAAGCCTGCGTGGAGCTGCTCCGTCACGGGTCCCACGGCCTGGGTCCTGCCAGCGGCCGACGCAGACCTCTAGCGGTGCGAGGGGGAGAGATGCTCTCATGCGGCGCGTGTTTGCGGCGGGCTCGTGATGGCGGCAGGCCTGCTGGGTCGTGGGGAAATCACCCTGGATTCACTGTGCCGGGGAGCAGGTCCACCTCAGCATCACTTTCCTCCCCCTGGCACTCTCAGAGGGGGGGGCAGCCACTCCTGTGGCCCGCAGGACCCAAAACACTTAGGAGAGGGCTTTTCAACAGCAGGAACAGCTTTGCCTTCCCTTTAGAGCGGTGGAGGATGATGCTTCCTTGCTCGTGTAGACCAGCTTGGCCATCCACTGGGCTCTTTCCAGATGATGCCAACCTCTGCCCCCCAGCTGTCCCCAGCCCACCTTCTGCTCGCCCCTCCACAGGCAGGGTAGGGGTTAACCCCAGGTTCCCGGACAAGCTTTGCTGGTCTAGGACCTTCCTCATCCTTTCTACCCTCCTCCCCTGGCACTGAAGAGGGGAGGCAAGAGGGAGGGAGCAGAGCTCCCCGCCCAGCCTCTTCTGCCTCCCTGGGCCAGCAAAGCTCTGGCAGCCCCTTCCCAGCAGGTCCCTGCCTGCCCAGCTGCTGGCTCCCACCCCAGCTCCTCACAGGACAGAGCAAGATGCGGATTCATGGGTGAGGATGCTCTGTCGAGACCCTGCTAACGTTTTCCCCATTTTCTATTCCCCTGCAGGGAGGGAACGATTATGAAATCTATGACGATCCCCGCACAGTGGGACACAGCGTCCAGTCCCCCCAGGACACGGTCCAGCGATGCCGCGAAATCTTCTTTCCAGAGAGAGCAAACGAGTGCTGACTGCCAGGTCCCCGCAGCCCTGCCCCGGCCCCACCCTCTCCCCCTGCCAGGAAAAGCACCTTCATTTGAGGAATCTGCTCAGGGTAGACTAGAAAAAAACACTTTCCAGAGCTGGTCGGGATGTAACGCGTGAGTGCGGGTGGGTGTGCAGGAGGGGGCCTCCGCTGAGCAGCCCTTTGGCACTCCCCATTGGGGCTCGTGGGACCAGACCCTCCTCACCTCCAGCAAAACTTCTCTCTTGACAGTTCGGGCCATGGTGGGCGGCGATGCAGATGCTTTCATGGTCAGAAAGCATTTGAAAGGGCCAGTCACGAGAGCGTGTGTGTGTCCATCCCATGCTCCCTCCCCTTTTCTCTTCTTTTTCGCTCTGTTTCTTGTAACACTTCTGCACGAGGGAACATACGTCTCACCTTTCTCTCCCCCTTGCGCCTTGGCTGGGGAGGATGGGGCTGCTGAGGCCCCAGGCACTCTCACCAGAGCTGCTCCGAAGCGAGAGGCCAGGAAGGCTGTTTGCTCCAAGCCCGAGGTAGGAAGGGGTAGCTGCGACCCTGGCTCGCTGCAGCATTGTGCATCCTAATGGAAAGGATCCCCATGTCCTTCTCCTCGGTGACACACTGTGCCAGTCCCTACAGGTGACCTGGGAATGACAGTTTTAAAACTGACTCTGCTCCTGCTCTGAGCTTTGCTCAGGTGCATGAAAAGACTAATTCTCTCTTTAGCTTACAAAAAAAAAATGGTTACTGTGGGTTTATTTTCCATGTTCTGCACAAATTGTCAAGTCAGACCTTGCCTGGCACGGCTGGAGGACCCTGGGTGCCTGGCGTGTGCAGAGCAGCCTGCGGAGCTGTTGGGGGCAGAACGCTTCCCAATAGTCTTCCCACTCGCGTGTCCATTAGGTGTCACAGATGTGTCAGTGTAAAACCTTACCCAGGGCATTCGTAACAGACCAAGTCCCCTTCCTTCCCAGCGCTCAGCTTTCCATCGTGCTGCCAGAGACATTTTCAGAGAGGGCCAACACAGGCCAGATGTGGTTTCTAGTGCCAAGGGAGGTACACACTCAACAGTGCCCTCCAAGCTTGCTTTTCCACCCCATCTCGTCCCACAGGCTTGGTTTACATGGTCACTTTAGGGACGCAAGTTCTCCAGTGCAGCTGTCACGTGTCCTCCTGCCCCTCTCTTCTCCTGCGTCTTTGTGAGTTGCAAAACCACATCTCTCCTTTGGCCCTTGACCTCCTCCCTCACGTTGCCCCTTTATTCCTGGTCATTATGCTGGGGGGGGTGGTGACTGCACCAGTGACGCCAGTCACAACTCAGTGCTCGGGAGGAGCTCAGGGATCCCCTTCCAGGGAGAAGTCCTGCTTATAGCTCTCCGGGGCACATGTATCCGGCGTTTGCGGACCTGGAGGGTGCCGGAGGTTCCTGCAAAAGCTCCCCACATTGCTCCCTGGGAGCCTTTCTCAGCACATCCCTGCTCTATGGCACTGCCCCATCTCTTGGTCTTGTTCTCCCTCCTCTTTTTCTCCTGTTCCTGCTTTCCTCGCTGTTGCTCTTCATGTCCCACCTAGCAGCTGGAACTGCAGAGAGAAGTTTCTCAGCTGGCTACTGCCACTTAACCAAGGGGCCAAGTTCCTCAGGTGAGATATGTTGGTGCTTTTAGACCCAGGGCAGGGTTCCCATGTTGCCACGGGCAGAGTCCTGAGCGGACCTTGGCACTGCTGCCTGGCCGCAGGAGCAGGGGTGCTGCGTGACCAGCGCTGGCGGGGGGCTGTCTCCTCCACCTGACTGCACCTCTTAACTCTACAACACATCAGGTCTGTAATGCATCACACTTGCATGAGCGCAGTGGTCTGCCCAGCACCCAGAAATCCCCAACAAATGCACAAATTCCTCTTTCTATCCAGAGAAAATTTCTGTGTGGGAGAAGAGGACCTGTTGGGGAAGCCTGGATGCAGGGTACCCTTTTCACAGGCCACTGGTTTTGGCCCTCCACTGCAACCTTCACGGAGGAATTGTGTGTTTTATGGTTCCTTCTTCTCTGTTTCACTGTGGATCAGGTTATGTGTGGGTTTTGGGCATTTATTTTTCCTGTAAGTCTATTCAAAGTCAGCAGGATCTCTAGAGAGCTTGGTGGTGGGTGAAGAGCAGGGCCTGGCCCTGAGGGCATGAGGCACCATGGTGGCCCTGGGGGCTGAGATGCCTTGCATATTTGAAGGGAAGGGCAGGCTCTGTCCAAGGCTGCTCCTGATGGCAGCACGTCCCTTGTCCCTTGCTCAGGGTGGGGGGAGTTGCAGGGCGAGCAGGGCAGAGGCAGGGATGACCTTCGAGGCACCAGCCATCGCTTTCTCTGCTCAGGAGCTCACATGTGCATGGGTGAGATCAAGCTCAGGAACCTTCCCCATTCCTGTCTCTGTCTTACACCAAGCTTGGGCTAATTGAGGGCACCCCCCACCAGGAGACCCTGTCCTGTTGGAAGGATGATGAAGAGGATGGCATCAGAAGTAGCTGGGGCAGCCCCAGGGTCTCAGAGCCACAGAATGGTTGAGGTTGAAGGGACCTCTGGAGCTCGTCTTGTCCCACCTCCCTGCCCAAGCAGGGCCACCGAGGAGCCCCGGCTGCCTGCCCTGTGTTTTTGCGGGCAGGGATAAGGCACAGCACTGGGGTGGGAGCCCTACACCGAGGGGACGGTGCACGCCCGTCCCTGTGACCCCTTTGCCATGATGCTCCTTTCCCGGTGGGTGCCCATGGCGTGAGTGGGGGCTTCTCCCCACGTGTGC